TACAAACCAAATGTCAATCAGATTAAACAAGAAATGAAATCAAGAAGTCCAGTCAGCCCAGACAAGTGGCATTGCATGTTGAATAATGAGAGGATCCAAACTAAAGGGAAAAATAAGAAAGACGATAAAATAGAACAGTGAACAAAATGGACAAAAACAGTGACAAATTAAAACAATTCACTGGTGTGATGTTTGCACAGTGAGTGCGTTATTTGTTGGTTATATAGAATATTATTATAATGACAAGTGATTGAATAATGTGGTATGTCCTACCATATACCCAATTAATGAAACCCTTATAGACTCTAATATATGATTGGCCAAAACCTTTCATTTGGATTGTTGATTAAAGTTAATATACATATATATGTGTAAAAAGTCTTTTTACGTTATCAACGCAATTTAGTTAGTTAGTGATAAGGTCAAAATAGTACGGGCTAGCCAGTTTTTGGACTGGTAATTGAAAAATAGTTTTATTTGCATAACCATTGAAAAATAGCCGTTGTTTTACAGAAAGTTCAGCATAATATGTTGGAATATGGAGCTCCTGCGTATAAATTTTCAGCATATTATGTTAGAACTTCAACACACCGAAAGTTCCAGCATACTATGCTGGATTATGGAGCTCTTGCGTATAAATTTCCAGCATATTATGTTGGAACTCCAGCATATTATGAAATTCCAGTACACTATGCTAGAATCTCATATGTAAAATTTTCGAGCTCCAGCATATAGTATGCTGCAATTTTTTCATAAGGGTGTTTCTGTTCAGATGTTATCTTTACATAAAAGTGGCTAAATTTCGATTATTTTTAAACCGTGACCATTTTTCAAGTATCACTTATAAATCTGACTATTTTTTATTTTTTCGCGATAACAAGTTATTCACTAGATTTTTTTTTAAATGATGTAAATGACTGATCGTGTAAATATTTAACGTTAGTGTTTGATCAAAAAGTACTAAACTCTTTGTTAAACTAATTAATGAGAATGTAAAGGATAAATCTTAGCCAAGATCAATTAACTCTAGATTAAGCATCAAAGCACGTTGGATAGGAGAATAAGATATAGCCAAGCTCATGAACTTTCAAGATTTATTGAAGACATCAAATATAAATAATACGCTTACATCCATCATGTATTGTACCGTGATGTAAAAATAAAGGAGGAACCGAGGGAATGCCGTTGATAGTTACAAGATCTATCTTTATTGATTCAAGAAAAGTGATTACAAAGATTTGTCGCCAAGATCTGCGACTTCTCGTGTTTTTTCTCCTATAGCTTTTTCCAGTTCTTCTGCCTTTTTTCTCTGTAGGGAAGAGACCCCATTTCTCTGTCTTCTTCTCTCCTATATATATTACAAGTATTCCCTTTTGTCCAGTGGTCTTTAACCAGAAGACTTTCCTCCCGTGATCTCATTTGCGTCGCTCCCCTAAGTGTCACGATATTTATTTTGCCGTACAAGCTTTCTGATGGCTCGATCTCGGCAGTGACCGAGATACTCGTTGTTATTACGCCTTGTGGGTACGACCACGGCTTAGTCGACCCCTTACCGTTCCTTTTAACGCTAATCTACGTGCGGTCAGATTTTGACCCATACAGTTAGTGCTTAGAACTTCAACCTCATTGATTGTTTAGAATTCTTTAGTTAAAATAAGTATTTTGCCCATTAATAAAGTAGACCCGAATTTGACGTGTATGAAGCTTAAGAGTAAAATTTTGAATAGATAATTATACGAGTTTTCTCGAGATCAAGCATTTGATATTATTGATTGAAATACAAATAAGATCGCTAGTTAGCTAAAAAGATGTCATATCAAGTTTGAATAGTATAAGGATTATTAAACATTTGCCCATATTGTTTGATAGAGAAGAACTTCCCATTAAAATAGTAATTTTGGGACAAAAGAGAAACATGGATTTTACAAGGATGCAGATGGTACCAAATCTATTATTAATTAAAAAGAAAAAACATAATGTGCTTATACTATTATATATTATTGGCCACAAGGGAATAATATTTGGTGCAAGAAAATCTAAGAGTGTAGTATAGTAGCTAGAAATCTTTGATGGGGTATGTCCGTTCCTTTTATCTTTCCTACCTAGTTTTGTTCATACAAATTATAGAGGTACAACAATTAACACATAAAAGAAAAGGTTGTCACGTGTACGAAATTTATTGTGCACAATCTTGTTCGCTTCGGTCCAAAATAAGTGATTTTTTTGGATGTTTTCACACAGATTAAGAAATCCACTTTTTAGCATTAATTAGCAATGAAATTGACCATATTAACCTTTACTATCTCACATAAACACTCCTAACACATATTCCAACACTATTTACTCTAAGGACAATGTAGGAAAAAAATAATTAGTTCACTCTTGAAATTCGAAAAAATCACTTATTTTGAACCACAAGAAAAAGGCCAAAAAATCACTTATTTTGAACCGGAGGGATTATTTTTTAGAGACAATTTTTACAGTCTGAACTCATGACCTTCTAGTGTCACGTAACACAATGACAATTCAACTCTTCGTTCACTCATTAGTCTCATTGGACAAGATAAATTCAGTTTATTCACATTAGAATATCGTTATTTTGTCCTGACTCTTCTGGTCAGTAGTACTTGCTTGCCACATTATCAGGGAAGACATGTCCATCAATTCTTTTCTCTCCCTCTTGCTTCTTTTCCTTAACTTCTTGTTTGGAAAAAATAAATGTCAATTATTTTGTGTTAATGATAAGTAATATATGTTCATTAGTGATGCAAGATCGTATCTATTAGTTTAGTAATCACATTTTCCTCCAGAAAATTGGTTACGCCGCCTCTAATCCAGAGGAAAACTATATCTTGGACGAATCAAAAGATTTCATGTGACGGAAAAGTCAAAACTGGTTTGCTGATAATTACAAAAAATATAAAATAAAAATTGGTTTTCATAAGCTGATTAATAACTCGTGCCAAAGAAAAAAGAAAAGAAAAGATTTAATGGTGGGCTTACAGTGATTAAATATGTGGAACAGACCAAGTCATAGCCACTTCAAAATTCATTAGAGCTCATTTTTTATGCCTATCAAACTCCAAAAGCCCAGAAAACCTAAATCCTGCACAACATTTGCATGCTATACTCAAAATCATAGTAAAAAATATATATATACTAAAATGCAATTTTTTAAAGCATATTTGGTACTAAAGCAAGCTAAGGCGCAGGAAAGAAGTAAAAGTTAGCATTTGATGAAGATACTCTAATTTTACCAGCAAAAACTTCTATGCTTGTGACAACATTTCCTCTTCTTTATTTGCCCTGAAACAAAGTTTATATTATTGCAATAAGGATATTCATGTCCAAAGGAGTGTACTGCATCATTTACAAGCCAACTTGGGAACACATCAGACATCATCTCGATACAGCAAAATGGCTTCTGATGATCTTCTTAGGATTATCTGTTTGATCCCAGAAAGAATTTCATCATTCCACGGCTTCCCACCAACTCCAACAGCACATGGAGCTGTGTGTCTCACTTCTGCTGGACTACCCGAGAAAGACCAAACACAGAAGGAAAAATAAGAGAAACAATTTTTTTTACATTGTGCATTGATCAGAAGGGTAGCTTTGGCGTAACTGATAAAGTTGCTGCCATGTGACCAGGAGTTCACGGGTTCGAGCCGTGAAAAAAGCCTCTTGCAGAAATGCAGGGTAAGGCTGCGTACTATAGACCCTTGTAGTCCGGCCCTTCCCCCGACCCCTTGCATAGCGGGAGCTTAGTGCACTTGGTCACTCCATATGGATGTTAGGTGTTCTATAGACTAGACTAAACTTTTGCCTGTTCAAGGGGCGATGCATAGAAGTTCCCAGCTGAATTACCCTTCTGTTATAGTCTTACAGAGGCAGCATCAACACATGAAAGGGATATCAGAGGAACATATGCTGTGAAAAGGAACTCATTACACTCAGATCAGCCACTGCAATGTGCATTTTGCAGAAAAGATAGAAAACTCACTCAGTCTGAGGAGAGCTGTGAGTGTAAGCCTTCAAGTCCCTGGATTGAGAATGAAAAGCTGGTGATTGAATGCATAAGAATTTCCTGATCATGGAAGATATTTAGTTGCATTTCTAACTCAGTGAATGTCAATTCCACAGAGATAAATAATTCATAGAGAGTTTTCCTCTCAATTCCACACTAGTAGAGGAATAATTCTTTTAGGAATGCTAATAAAACCACTCCCTATCACTGTTAAATTATCCAACTGCAAGGAGCGTATTCATTGCCTTGGTACATAAACTCTACATTTCTCCCCCGAGGAAAGTATAATAGTAGACAGCATCAGTGGCACAAAATATGCAAGGCCCAAGTACTTGTAGCGAGAGTGGAGACTTGACTGAGGATTACTATATATCCCAAAGCTGTCAATCGAAAACTTAAGCAGTCTAAATAGGTATATCATTCATAAAATATGAGAAGAATATGCAAGAAAAAGGTTGACGCTGAGCATGTAAACAACAAATGTATTGTAATACTCAAATATTGAATCATTGGTGTAAAACACCCTCATTCCAGCAGGTTAAAGAATATTGTTACTTCACTTTCACCAACAAAATCAGCTCTTAAATCTTGCTTTTGTTATTTTCCTTTAAAGTTAGACTAAGAAAACTCAAATCTCTAATTAAGAATAAAGACTAGCTCAAGAATATTATTTTTTAATTGGTGGATCATGGTAATGTAGGGGCCAGCTTGTGCACCCTCAACTATTCCGTAGGATACCTGCATCCTCCCACAACCACAAATACTAGGTAAATTTGCCCCCATCAAGGCTTAGACAGATGGAAATATATCGCCTAGCTTTATTTTACCATAACTGAGAGTTGAACCCTGGTCTCTGATGATCTTCGCTCCAACATCATTGACTGTTGAGCCACACCCTTGGGATCCACATACAAAGGCTAGCTCGATCCTCACACAAGTAGGAAAAAGTACATGATCTCAGATGAACACTTGGTAAGAAGAAAGACTATCTGTTTGGCATATGTACAATATGATACAGAGCCTATCGACTAGTGTCATTATCCAGATTTCTCTCAACCATTTACAAGACCTCTGACCAAAACAAAGAAAATTCATATATACAGCAATACAGCGTTTGAGTGGCTATGGTTTGCACCATCATCTATACATTGTCAAAGGGATCCTCTTTTTACTTCATGCAAAACTTTTCTTCAGAAGAATGTGGACGCATCAATTCCTTGGAGAAGAGGAGACTTATCTAAAAGAAAATGACTGTCATGATCACCTACCTACCAATAATTGCCACAGGAACAATAACCATTTTTAAAGTGATGCAAGCACTTAGAATCATGTATACATATTTCACGTTCATATTTCTGAGAAATACATTTGGCAGTCCTATGGCAATCTTCACACATTCTGAGGTTCTTAACAATTCGGATCACTCGAGATGATTGAGGATTGTTAATGAGAGCAAAAGAAAGCGCAAGTTTCTCACTATGAACTCTACTAATATCTTCCTTCTCCTCTTCTCTGATGCAGAGCCTATTGCAAGAACTGGATCCCTCCATTTTTACTTCTTTTCTTTTTATCCAAGAATCTGGAACCTCAGAATTGCTCTGCTGACCTGAAGCAAAAGCATGCACCACATTGTTGATCTCTGTCCAGCTCCAACTAAGAGATTCTTCACAATGATTTCTTTTTCTAGGTCTCAGCACAGTTACTGATTCTTCAGAAATCCCACGTAGAGCATACAACTGTAAGAGCAACTGATAAATCACTACATTTCCTGAATCCAGTTTGAGTAATTGTTCCCCAGCATGGATAGCTAAAGTCAAATTACCGTGCACGCGAGAAGCAGTCAGCAATGCACCCCATAAAGAAATATCATGCTCCACGGTCATATTGTCTATAAATTCAATTGCTTCTTCAAGTTTACCTGAACGACCATATAAATTAACCATAGCCACACAATGTTCTAGACCTGGTACAGTCCGATACTCTTCGGACATGCTAGAGAACATACTCTTCCCCTCATCAACCATTTTGGCTAGACCATAAGATGAAATCACACTCGAGAAAGTACCCCTGTTTGGTTTAAGCCCTGCCTCTTTCATTTGATGAAATAGCTTTATTGCCTCAGTAGAACAGCCATGTAAAACATAACCCGCAATCACTGTGTTCCAAGAAATGATATCTTTGGTTGACATCCCATCAAATATTGCTTTCGAGTATTTTATGCCCCCAGACTTGGAATATGTGTCAATAAGAGAATTAGCAACGGAGAGCTCATTTTCCAGATTGCAACGCAGAACACAACAATGAATCTCTTTCACCTTCTTTGCAGCAATTAAGTTTGCACAAGCTGGTAGGATGGACAAAATGGTAACTGCGTTGGGCTTAAAACCAAATGACTGCATTTTCCGAAACATGCCCAATGCTTTGTCCTTCTGTCCATTTTGCAAATAGCCAGCGATGAGAGCGTTCCATGAGGCAGTATCCTGCTCAATGCTCCCGTCCTTCTCCATCCTCCAGAACAGATCCAATGCTTGATCCTCATCACCATTTTGCATGTGTCCTGTAATCATGACATTCCACGTGATAACATTAGGTGATACCTCAGAATCATGCATCTTCATAAAAAGATCATGGGCTTTTCCAAAGTACCCGGCTTGGCAGTACCCTCCAATCATGGAATTCCAACTGTAGACATCTTTCTCTGGGATCATATCAAAGACCAACCGAGCAGCTTCAAGTTTACCACATTTCGAATATAAGTCAACCAAAGCATTCCCAACAATTACCTCTCCATCAAATCCCAACTTTGCAACCAAAGAGTGAAGTTCTCTTCCCTTCTTCAGGTCTTTAAGAGACGCACAAGCTGAAATTATGCTTGTAAGTGTTACTTCACTTGGTGTAACTCCACTGGAACTCATCTCCCGGAACAATTCTAATGCCTGACTGTTCCTGTTATGTTGAGCCAAACCTGAAATCATACATGTCCAAGTAAAAACATCAGCCATTATCCCATTACCCTCCATCTCCTTCATAACTTCCAGCGCCTCATCACACTTGCCTAACTGATTATAGCTAGCTATCAATGTATTCCAGGTGATCAAACCCGGTTCTACGCCTTCAAGATGCATTACGTCCAATAACCTCCGCGCCTCCACAATCTCACCCTTGTGACAATACGCCATTATAATCGAATTCCAAGACACTGTATCCCTTTTCTCCATACTCTCGAAAAGCCTCTTTGCACAAACTAACAACCCACATTTTGCATAAACAGCTAGAAGCGAGTTATTCACGCGGATTTCAGAACTCATTCCATATCGAATCGCTATAGAATGAATCAACTTTCCAGTCTCAACATCCCCACAATTCCCACAAGCTTGTAAAATCTTAGGGAACAAAAAGCTATCAGGTACAACACCATCCTCCATCATCATGTAAAAAAGGTCTACAACTTCACCCCACCTACTATCTCTTGAACAAGCACCGATCATAGCAGACCAAGCAAATAAATCCCTCTCACGCATTTCATCAAACAATTGGTATGCTTCTTGTAAAGACCCACATTTCGAATACATCCCTAACAGCTTAGTTTCAATAAAAGGGTCAACTTTTTTCAGTAAAAATTTCATCTTTTTATGAAGTTTACGTCCCAAATGTAGTGACTTCGAATTGATGCAAGATTCTATAAGTTTTGAGAAAGTTTCGGGTTTTACCTTATACCCATATTGTGAAATGGATTCTAAAGCTGTTATGGCCTCACTGAGGCGCCCATTTGTGCAGAGATAATTCAAATGCGTATCTGTAAGTCTTGGTTCATAATTGATGGGTATTTTTGTTTTTGGGTGATAATTTTGGGGTAATTCTGAAATTGTTGGAAAAATTGATTTGCAAGAAAGAATTACACTCTCCATTGGAGAGCACTTAATTTTTCCTTTCCCTTTTTTTTCTTTTTTCTTTTTGGAGTTATGATTAATTTGTTCTTGGTAAAGACTGATGAATGAGTTGCAGATAGCCACAGGAACTGCAGACATGATTCTCTGTGATCACTTTTTATTGCGTGTCCACTTTGAACCAATCAGGAATTGACAGCTCGGATTATCCAGGAAATGGCCAACTCGGATTATCCATAACTAGGCTCACTTGGGCCAACACTTCTGCTTTAGTTTGAACCCAGCTTTAATATTTGGGCCTACAGCGTTTTAAGATAGATTTAACTGAATGGGCTTATTTGGAAGAATTCAGGTAGAAATGGCACCAGGTAGCCATTTTATAGGACTACCATTTAAGAATTAGTCAATGTATCTTGAATTTCATTTTTCCAATTCAATTTTTCAGGATACAAATGTCCTCGTCCTGAAATGAAATTTTTTAGTTCAAATTCTCAGGACAAAATAAGCACGGGCTAATTCCTAAATTTTTTTTAGATTTTAGTATTGTAGCCTGTAGATTATGTTGTTATTTATTCGTCAAATGCTTTTAAATTTTTCAAAATAACGAGTACACTAATATGCACTATATTTACATACTGTTAACGAGTAAATAAGAATCTGAACAAGTGTAGTCTACACATTTCATGCTGGAGATCCGTTGATGAGAAAGGCTAGTACTATATAATATGAGTATGTGACAATATCAAGGATATGAATGACCCGAATGTGAAACGAAAGACAAAATTGAACAATATAGAATAATACATGGACAAACCTAGACCTTTTCTCTTATATCTAACACTCAAAGTAAAAGCTTAAGGTACTTTTCATATAGTCGCCTATATAGATTACTTAAGAGATTACCTTTTCATATGCCTTCCCAAACAAAGACTTTCAAGCTAGTTGTTGTATACTATCGGCATTACGACCTCATACATAACTTTTCATCCTCAAGTTGAAGTGGCGACATTGGGAACATGGGGACGTAAAAAATGGGTCATATCCTATCAAATTGTTCCGTCCTAGAATAATAAGCTCGTGAGTTTTGTCTTACTTCACTGTCGAGAAAGGAAAGAAGACTACTCTATCTCCAAGTTTAACTTAAACGTAGCTCTTTTCTTTTCTTGGGGGGTGTGAATCAGTATCAAACTAAATAACCAACAAACATTAGATCGAACTAATCCATTGACACAAATAGTTCATAGGAGAAAATTAGTTATTTAAGTCCCAAAGGACTGACAATTGTTTGATTCAAAAGATATTCTACTCTTTTTATGTAAATCAATCAATAAAGATGAAGGGGTAAATCCTAGTAAAGATAATTAACTCTAGATCCGAGCTGAGTAGGAGAAGTAGAAAAACATAGTCAAATATAAATGTTGACAGCGATTATGATCAGATTTGATGGCATAAGTAAAGATGCATTAAGTAATAAAAATATGAATAAAGAAAAAGATTCACCCGATCTTCAGTGAGACGGATCTTCTTTCATTTAATAAAGATCAATGGTAGACAAATACAAGAACTTTATGACCCTTTTTTGGATCCGGTGAAGATATGAGATCACTCATCCTCTCAATTCTTTGGAGAGGTGTGTTTACATATTTTCTAGAAAGAGGGAGAAGGAGACAGAGAAAGAGCCCCCCCCCCCCCCCTTTCTTGGGAAGTCCTCCCCTCCTATTTATAAGGGGGGTGTTCATAGAAAATCCTAAAAAAAAGGTACAATTTAGAGGGAATATTTGGTAGAATATTCTTATTGAGTATTCCAAAGCAAACTAGTTGTTTGATGACGGTCCGACCTTGCTTTTTGATGACGGTCCGACCTTGGTTATTGATGACGGTCCGACCTTAGTTATTGATGACGGTCCGACCTTGGCTATTGATGATGGTCCGACCTTGGTTATTGATGACGGTCCGACCTTAGCTATTGATGACGGTCCGACCTTAACTTATCTGACCACGACCTTATATCTCCGCGTGCCAAATTTCTCTGATCTAATTTTGACCCATACAGTTAGTCCCTCCGCTTATCGAGGTCGTCTCTTGGTCGAGCTCGGTGAGCGGACTTCATTAATCGCAATTTGAGAAATTCGGATGGGGAGGTCGACTAGTGTGGATCGCGACTGAGGGTGCCGATCTTTAGGTTAGTGGTATCCCCCTGGGCTGAACTTTAGTAGAGTTCGATCAGGGCCCATGACTCGAGTGATGAGTCGATCGAGAGGGCAGTAGAATTGGAGAAGGTCGTCAAGGCCGGGATGGCGGCATCAGAGGAGGTCATTCGCGCCCTCGGATCTGGACGGGCGAGTAGGTCGAATGTGAATTCGGACGAGGTCGAGTGTTAATTCGGACGAGGCGGAATGTTGTTTCGGTCGAGGCCGAATATTGATTCGGACGAGGCCGAATGTTATTTCGGTCGAGGCCGAATGTTGATTCGGACGATGACGGTCCGACCTTGCTTTTTGATGACGGTCCGACCTTAGTTATTGATGACGGTCCGACCTTGGCTATTGATGACGGTCCGACTTTGGCTATTGATGACGGTCCTACCTTGGCTTATCTGACCACGACCTTATGTCTCCGCGTGCCGAATTTCTCTGATCTAATTTTGACCCATACAATAGTCCACTGCTAATTTTTGGATACGAGATATTTATCTAGTCACTATGAACGTATTTGCCGTATTGACAAGTGTGAACACCACTGTGTTAAAACACAAAATCAGAAAGACTGTTAGAATAAAAAACTGGAAAAAACAGTAAAGTATAAAAAATATTCCGAGTCCACAATTTGCTTGTGCGTCCTTAAGGAATTTTAACCCCCTCACACGTTGCCAAGGTAATGGATTAAATCCTCCCAGGATGAAACGGAATAAACCTTCCTGCAACAGTGGCAATACAAACTGCAGGATACCAACGAACTCAAAGAACGGAGCAAAATCACACTTACGAATTTGAGAGAATTCTGCGAAATAGAATGCAGGATATTCAGAAGGAAGGAAGTTCTTTAATGTTTCAGTGTTTCGAAAATGCAGCCATGCCTTAGAATTTATAAGCAATTATCGGAAGAGGTGTGACTGTTCAGGAAAAGCGTCTGTTCAGAAGGAAAAAAAAACGTTCAGCGTTTGGATTTCAAGATTTTAGTTAATTTCGTTAATTTGGATTTCAAATTTCAGTTAATTTCATTAATTAACTGACTTGCTTTTAATTAATTATTAAATAATTAATTAAATAAATTTTGTCCAAAAAATAATCTTATCGATCGATCATTTGACAAATCCAAATCAAAATCCAAAGCCGAAGCCGAGCCGAGCGAGCGACGACGACGGCGCGAGGGTTCATTCTCTTCAACTCCTTTTAAGAGCTCTAAGAAGTGATTCTTTATATATACACACAAATGTAGTTGTCCCTCACCAATGAGGGACAAAGTTCAAGACAAAAGCTCACTTCATTCAAATTTTTATTTTCTTCCATTTTATTTCCCACCATTTCCAATTCACACTCTTAGACTTTTAAAGCCTAATGCTTAAAGTCTTTAAAGCTCAATGCTTAAAGTCCAACAATCCCCCACATGATTGGGAATGGCTGTAACAAGAATGATCATAGATGAAAGCTGTGTGATTTGCAAGTAAGGATTAATTGCATCTGGATAAGTAGGTTTCCCTTTGAACTTTTCGAAGTGAACATATGTCGGATATACTCGGTCAATCGGTAGATTTGATATCTTTGAACCGTCGAACTTTAGTGTATACCTAGACAACCATATGTCACACAACCAACCCTTAACCGTCTGTTGGTTCTCATTGTTGTGTTCGTTTCAGCCATGAACACCACCTGGTTTCATAAGTGCGTAGAGAATTGGGCTTACTGAATTCTCATTGAAGCGGCTTCCACTTCACACTTACATAGGCGATTCCTAAACGTGTAATCCTTTAGATTGACACTATTTGATAAATACCACATCAAACTTAGGTAATCATTAAAGAACGTGTAAAGTTCTATCCTTGTTACTGAATATTGTCTTCATCACGAGAATGGACCAAAGATTTTACTTTGATAATGTTGAACCGGTCAATAACAACTTTGTTTGAGCTCCTTGAACCTAGATCTCGGAATATCCAAAATTCTAGGTAGAGTTACCGCCATGTTGACTTGTCCTCGGCCATAGTCCCATTCCCTTAGATGATTTCTCAACTCCCTCTCTAGTTAAGCCTTTTGTAAGCGGATCTGCCACATTATCCTTTGATCTTACATAATCAATAGTGATAATTCCACTAGAAAGTAGTTGTCTAATGGTGTTATGTCTTCGTCGTATATGACGAGACTTTCCGTTATACATAACGCTCCTTGCCCGTCCTATTGCAGCCTCACTATCGCAATGTATGCAAATAGGAGCCAAAGGTTTTGGCCAGAACAGAATGTCTTCTAAGAAATTTCGAAGCCATTCAGCTTCTTCACCGGCTTTATCCAAAGCTATAAACTCTGATTCCATTGTAGAGCGAGCAATGCACGTCTGTTTGGAAGATTTCCAAGATACTGCTCCTCCACCAACAGTAAAAACATATCCACTTGTGGACGTTGTTTCTGTTCAGCCGGTTATCCAATTTGCATCACTATATCCGTCGATAACCGCAGGATATTTATTGTAGTGCAAAGCGTAGTCTTGGGTATATTCCAAATATCCCAGAACTCGTTTCATTGCCACCCAATGATGTTTGTTTGGATTACTTGTGAATCGACTAAGTTTACTTATTGCACAAGCTATATCAGGTCGTATACAGTTCATGATGTACATTAAGCTTCCCAACACACGAGCATACTCCAATTGAGACGTACTTTCACCTTTATTCTTTATAAGATGGTGATTTAAGTCAATTGGATTTCTTGCACTTCTAAATTCCAAGTGTTTGAATTTTTCAAGTACCATTTTCACGTAATGCGATTGAGACAAAGCTAGACCCTGAGGAGTCCTCTGGATTTTAATTCCTAGAATTACATCGGCAACTCCTAAGTCTTTCATATCAAACTTACTAGCAAGCATACACTTAGTAGCTTGAATGTCGGCAATGTATTTGCTCATTATTA